GCCAAAGGAAACTGCCCCTATAGGTCACGGTGCACAAGTAAAGTAGGGCGTCCAATATGAATGCGCTCCCATGACCAAATCTGTATCAATGTGCAGCATCCCTTGAATTCTTTATTCTGCATCAGGGATACTCTACTCAGTTCTCGATACAAGTATGCCAACACCGCACTGCCCCACGACAGTATGCCGCATACGTCAAAATCCTCTAGCAACGGCAACCATCGTGCATGTACAAGAGTCTTGCTCGCATCAGGAAAAAACACGCACCCTATCATGTGCAATATGTAAGCACGAGCATGGAACTGAAGCGTCTCCATACTGGCATCCTCTGGTATGTCGCCCTGAAATGTCTGACGAAGCCACGATAGCTTCATCGCACCACTCCTCAAGTCCGGAACCTGTCCAAGAAGCCGGGCCATCGATCCAGGGTCCAAGTATGACGGCCACGTCATGTAAAGTGATGGTGCACTCCCCTATATGCATGTGAAAGGTGTTGGTCTCTGGCCTCCACCTCTCAATCAAAGCAGTGATAAGCGGCCAATCAAGCCTGATATATCGAACCGTCGAACACTCCCGAAAACCGGCCTGAGAGATCAGCGCTAGAACTCTCGCATCCTCAATGACCCAAGACGAATGGCTCTGGGAATGCTCGATCATCGTGATGTCTGTTACAGGCTGCGCGTTAAAAAGAATTGATTAAGTATAATACGAAAAATTAAAATTAGTGCCAATGCTAACTAGCATATACAAAAGATGTTTTACCTGTCCTGAGCCAATATAATCTGAAACGTGGCTCGCCTGGAGGGTCAAAACGTCGGGGCGTCTCGGTCCCGGATCCATAATGAATATAACTGAGAATTATATTAGAAGACAATGCTCAATGTGTTAGATCTTTTTTATATAAACAACAAACGAATGCGCAACGTGAAGAAAGCAATAACTTGAAACCAAACATTAAATTTATATAACATAGTACGAAACGATACAAATTACAATCACAAATGACACACGGAAACAAACAACTCACGAATGACACACGGAAACAAACAACTCACGAAACCACTACAAATTACAATCACAAATGACACACGGAAACAAACACAGAACGAAACCCCTAACATTTAACAATCACAAATGACATACGGAAGAAAACACAGATCGAAACCGCTACAAATTACAACATCAACGCCTAATCCTAACTGGACAATTATTTTTGTTATGGCCCGGTTGATCGCATCTACTACACTTATTTCTCCTCCTAACTCCTTCACGACCGTCATCCATACAATTTCTAATTCGTACGGAACGAGGGCGCGCCGCCGACCTTTTACACAATGGAGGCAATATCAATGGGCCGTCTTGTGTCCAATATCGATTATCATATGGTGGACGAAAACACTCTTTGTATGTTTGTCGATAGTTGTAAGTAGAATACCAAGCCTCGACGAACTCATAGTGTGAAATCCTCACACCACCTTGTAGATCAGAACAAGCCGCGACAACATGTGAACAAGGAATCCATTGTAATTGCGGTACGTTGCAAGTGCACGTACACGAGTGATCCACTAACATGTTAACTTTATAAGAGCGATTTTCTCTATGTGATATTCCCTCAATGACTTCCCATTCATTAAAACTGTATCTTACGACATGAAAGGATCGAGCTTGTACAATCCGAGCCGCTAACATTTCATCATTTTTCGGTGTGAGCTCCGAGCAGATATTTTCACCAAGTTCGCGACGACGTAGAAAGAAGTTATTAAGTCTGTAGAATGTTTTAGCAACTAGTGACTGTATTGGCATACCGCGTGCTCCCCTGAGCACGCCATTGAAACTCTCTGAAGCGTTCGTAGTCATCATACAGAACCGTCTCCCGCCATCTTCACATAAAGCCCACTTATCAACATTGTGTGGTCCCAAACTAGTTTCGATCCAATCATGTGCAGCTCGGGAGATAAACTTAATCCTCTCTCGTATTTGGTCATAAACTAATTTTTCTTTTGCACAGCTGGCTTTCCAAAGAAGATCTTGAACCTGACCGTTTCCAAATTTCTTCTTGAAGTTGTCCCTAATATGTCGCAAGCAATAACGATGTGCATGTGGTGACGGGAAATGACGTTGGAGTGCTCTTGGAATTCCTTTCATCCTATCAGATATGAATGTAATCGGCCGCGCACCCACACTAGGGATATGATATCTAATGCATGCAAAAAACCACGCCCAATTCTCTGTGTTTTCAATATCAACCACTGCAAACGCCAAAGGAAACAAACCGCCACCCGCATCAACTCCGGTGGCAACAAGCAAAACGCCTTTGTACTTGCCGTATAAGTGGGTGCCATCAATGCTAAGAAGAGGACGACAATATCGAAACCCCTCAATACATGGCCCAAATGCCCAAAATACACCGGTGAACCGCCGATCTCCGCCATCAACGGGGTCCGAAGATACTTCGTAGACAGTCCCCGGATTTTCTCTTTTGAGTGCTTCAAGATAATGAGGTAAGATCTCATACGATTTATCCCAATCACCGAATATTTTTATCATTGCCTTCCTCCTAGCATTCCAACACTTGTGATATGATACATCCAAGTTGGTGGCTTTTTACACTAGAAGACGAATATCTTTCGGCCTTAGATCAAGATCCTGCCTCAGATGCGGTAAAATCAATCGATATATGAAGGAAGAGGATGCATTCTTGTTATTCATCTCTAATCTAGGATTGCTACAAGTGTGGAGTCCGTTGTATGCCGTGATTTTGAATTGCCCGCCTACTCTTACACCGGAGCGTGAATTAAGCTTCCACGGACATTTCGCATTGCCGTTGTGGTGTCCACCAATATCTTCATCATCGCTATCTTTGCGATAGAAACTAACCGCATTATAGCTTGTAGTATTATTTTTTGTTGGCCTAAACTTGACATTTTTTGCAATGGCGTACGAGCGAAGCGCATGGATCAATTTCTCCTTACTCTCATATAGATCTCCCTTCACGAATGAGAAGTCCTCGCCCTGTGTATCATGACCGCTATTAGTGCCAATAGGAACACTTTCCATCACGGAGTTATCGATCCATTCTTCTCCTTGAAGTTCATCGGGCGACGGATCCTCTAAGACAACATACTCATTATTAGCATAACACCCGTCAATGTGGTGGTTGTCCCATTCATCACGATCTATCAAGGTCATGCTATTAATTTGTAAGCCCTCCTCTTCATCATCATTCTCAGATTCAACACTTGCATTATCTTCTTGAACTCCCGTGTTAGTATCGACCGCATTCGAAGTGCCCACAAGCGAAGGACCGCTCATATATTGTGATTGTGTCCAACCTTCATCTTGTTGAGGAGATAAAAAGCCAACGAAATCAACATCAGGGTCCTCCAACATGCGGGAATACATTCCGTCATAATTCAATGATTTGCCCAAATTCCGTTGATGTTTTTCAATGAACAATTCAATCGAACGCTTCTCGTCATGTAAGACTCCAATGAGACTCATATCGTAGTCACTTGATATTTGAATGCCGCTGGTCCTGTTCTCCACAACAGTATAATTGCAAATAACATTAAGGTGATACTCACGTGAGTTGGTTAATGTAAGTTTGTGCAATTCATTAACCAACTCATCAAAAGTACACGATTTTGTTATAAACAATGGTCTCGTCGTACCTCCTTCATAAACGGGCATATTATTTTCGAGGTATTTAATCTTCCCATCATACGAACACAAAATTACGATTCGATCGTTCATCATTACCTCTGAAGAGTAAAACATTCAAGATCAATATTACACGAAAAGACTTTAAAAATTTATTGTTACTTACAATTAAATCCTATATCAATTTTAGGGAACCATAATTTTTTCCAAATTCATATACCGATTCATATACCGATGTCATACATATGTAGTAACACTATTTTTTACATTATTGATAATTTACCCTCTAAATCGACAAAATAATTTAAGTTTTCTTCACATAATTCATAAAATTCACAATTAAATTCTCAAATCTAATTGATGTCATATAACACTAATTTTTAGATTTTTTATAATTTCATAACTTATTCACAATGAAATTCTAAAATCGACAAAATTATTGATAACACTATTTTTTTAAAATCAATTAGATGTCATACATATGTAGTAACACTATTTTTTACATTATTGATAATTTACCCTCTAAACCGACAAAATCATTTAAGTTTTCTTCACATAATTCATAAAAAATTCACAATTAAATTCTAAAATATATTTTTTTACATGTAATCACCATTAAATAGCGAGAAAATACAAGAAATTAAGAGAAAAATCTAATTTTGGGAAGAATTTACCCTCAATTTGTCAAAATCCGGCGACGACGGCGGTTCCGGCGGTCGGAATGAGGTGCCGGCGGTCGGAAAGGGGTTCTAGCGGTCGGATTTGGGGGGCTGCAGTCGGAACTCACGTGGACGGTGGCGGTTGGGACGAGAGAGAACTTAGGGTTTGGGGGCGGTTGCGGGGAGAGAGAACTGAGATGGGGAGGGGTCTGTCGCGTTCGAATATATAGGCCGCAGCTTCACGGGATTTCAACTCCCGTGAAGCTGCAGGCGGTAAACTCCAGCGAGTAACTCGCTGGAAAATCTGGCCTGCAGCTTCACGGGAGTTGAAATCCCGTGAAGCTGCAGGCTAATTTCCCAGCGAGTTAGTCGCTGGGGATTTTAGCCTGCAACTCCACGGGAGTTGAACTCCCGTGGAGTGTATTAAGGAAAATAATCTTCACGGGAGTTCAACTCCCGTGAAGTTTAAAAGAGTACTAAACTTCACGAGAGTTGAACTCCCGTGAAGTTTCGTAAAATTATTTAGAAAAACCGACCTAGTTTCAGCGACAATGCTGAAACCAGATCGGTTTTTCTAAATAAATTGGAAACAGATCGTTTTTTGCAATTAAAACTTGAAACAGGTTGGTTTTGAAAATTTGTCCCCCCGAAAAATATCCTCTATGGAAGCAAAAGTCTTCCATAAACCCTGAACCTCTCACCCAACAAATTTACAGATAAGGCCATTTTCTCCCCATGGCGACAATTTCCACGGATCTCGTGTTGACCTTCTTCAGCCTTGCGAAGCACCACCGAGGCCTCCGATTCCTGCCGTCTCCTTCCCTCTCCTTCCGTTCAACGAAGCGCGCCTCTCCCCTGCACGCGCGCTCTCTCGCCGTTGGATCTTTATCGCCTCCGATCGCCGGCGCCACGTGGCGGTCGAAGCGTCGTTCTCCGCGCGCTTCGGCGGCGGCTCCGACGACCGATGAGGGATCGGATGTGACGACGAAGATACCGCCCGATAATCGCATTCTGCGACTATATTACTGGATTTCTCGGTTCCGGCAAGGTAATTTGATCAAGTAGAGAACTTTAGTCGTTTGATTATCAGTGACTAGGGTTTAAACTGTATTTTCTTAGTTTAATAGGATTGACAAATGTTTTTACGGACAAATTTTTAAAAGAGACTCATTTGAACATTTAATTGCAAAAAACGACCTGTTTCCAAGATATTTTTAAAAACCGACCTGGTGGTTTCACTCCTGTCGCTGAAACTAAGTCGCTTTCTGTGAAAAATTTTCTGAAACTTCATGGGAGTTCAACTCCTGTGAAGTTTAGTATATTTTTAAACTTCACGTGAGTTCAACTCCCGTGAAGTTTAATTTCTTAAAAAACTTTACGGGAGTTGAACTCCCGTAAAACTTAGATTGTAAATTTTCCCCCTTGTTATTCTTTGCTCTCACGTGAATCATCTCTGATACTTGTCCCCTCTCCCCATCTGAGATTTCTGCAAGTTTCTCATCTGGGCACCCCTAAGATTCAACCTTTTGAAGTGGGTTTCTCTCAAAATTGAATCTTGCTTCTTGATTTTACATGGGTTCATCGTTCTAGCCCGATTTGGGATCTAGCTTGGGTGAAAATCATTCTTCAGCATTGTCAGCCTCTAGCTTGGGCGAAATGGTGCAGGAGGCTTCCCAGAGTTGCTGCGATGAGGAGGACGAGGGACTTCTATATGGAGATCACATTTCACTTTGAGAGCTCGGTGATCCCAAAATGGATTCCAAAATGGGAAAGGAAAGAATAACAAGTACCAGAGATGAGGGACTTCATTATTTTGATATATTTATACGGAGCTTCAATTCCCCTCTAAACAATAATTCCTCCTTTGTTTTCTCTTATCTTATGCTTTTCTTCCTTACAGCCACCATCCCTTTGTTCCTTCTAATCTACAAGTCTCTCCCTTTGAAGCCTCTCCCTTTGAAGCCTCTCCCTTTATGGGCAAGTGAGGTTAGATTACTCTCAATCTTGTTCTGGCAAGAATTCTTGTACTTTTTTGTGTATTCAGTGAAGAATTGTAGGCTTATTTCTTTCTGGGTCATTGAGATTTCGATCAAAATGAGTTCCAAGAGGAAGTGTGCTTCTAGAGATTAGAATGTGGAATCAATGGAGATGTCGGTACTATGTTTGCCTGTAACAAACTTCACGGGAGTTGAACTCCCGTGAAGTTTGTTCAACCAATATAGCTTCACGGGAGTTGAACTCCCGTAAAGTTTCGGAACGTCACGGGAGTTCAACTCCCGTGAAGTTTCGGAAAAATATTTTCAAAAACCGACCTGGTTTCAGCGACAGCGCTGAAACTAGGTCGGTTTTTAAAAATAACTTCGAAACGGGTTGTTTTTTGCAAATAAAAGTTCAAAGAGGTCTCTTTTGAAAATTTGTCCTGTCCATGTTTTTACTGAAATTTTTTGGATCAGTGAGCTCAATTTCTACTTCTTATATTGATTGCCTTTGGGTTGTTTGACATTTGATTAGTAATTAGATGCAAGGATCATATGTTACTTAGACTGGAGCATCAAGTTAATTCTTTTCCTTGGTCTTAAGAGAGGCTTGTAGGTTTACATTCTGTGAGAAAGGAAATTATTACACATGGGCATAACATGTGTTCAAACTTGCATACGAAAGTTGCAGTAGTACACTCTCCGTTTTGGTTCATTTTATTGCCCCCGTGTTTGGGAGTTGACTAGGGGAAGGAAAGGAAATGTAAAATACAGAATGGAAAGATAGGGAAGGGGAGGGCAAATATAATATCTTGTTTGGGAGTTTAGTAAGGGGAATGGAGGAGAACTTAGTTCATCATGTTTGGAAGTTCTAACTAAGGGAAGAGACGAGAAAAAAATGGTTTCATAATTAAATATGAGCCGCTGATCCATAGTGATAGAGAGCCAAATATTAGGCCTTTTAAGTTTACTTTCCTTGTCCTCTACACCCCAGTTTGGAGAGGAACAAAACCACAACTTTTTTATGAAAATTTTACTTCCCCTACCCTCCATCATCTTCCTTAAAAAAAACTCCCAAATGAAGTTGAGTGTTATTTTTCCTTCCCTTACCCTTGGCTACCCCTCATCCAAACACACTGGAACCTCATCCAAACACACTGGAACCAAGTGAGGAGGGAAGAAAATGATGCTATCTTTGATTATATTCTCCTGGACTGTTGTGTTATGTGGTCATGTAGACTATATCCTCAGTTATTAAGTAATAAGCTTGTGATAATATGCCTCACCTCATTTGAGTTTGTTGCTTTTTCTGCTATAAGTATGGGGATTCAAACCACACAAACACCTAAAAAGAGAAAGGAGTATAGTAACACCTAGTTTATTGTCTCCTAAAATTGCTCTATTGTGTTGTTTGAGGTTCTATTTGAGATTATTTAATACTTAAATTTGAAAATAGAAATTATTGGCAAAATGGGGAAGTCAGTTAAAACCTTTTAATTGTTGTAACACAGTGAAACAAGATGGAGATCATTTCAGTTGCCTGTGATGTAAGCCTTTGCCAATGTTTTCGAAGCTGGTGGTGTACTGAGTTCCAAGTGAACTTTGATGGCACGAAAATTAGACTCTACAGAATCAAATTGCATTTATAATTGTCCGTGTAATCTTGTTTTTCCTTCATGCTTCGAGGCAGTGATTAGCTAGTTATGAATTGGGACATTTTTAACTTAACACATTTGTATGTGTGCTGACTTGATGCAGATGTGTTTTATTTTGGCAGACAACTTTGTTGAATCACATCTTGACTGCTGACCATGGAAAGCGCATAGCAGTTATTGAGAATGAGGTAAGCATATATGATTTATAGATCTTAACATAAGGTATATACTTTTACTTAAAGATCTTCTACAAGTATGCATTGTGCTATTTCTATCAGATACAACCGTGGTGCACTTTGACGTGATACACTGTATTCTATTCTAATATTTCATTTCATCTGGTTGATGTAAGACATGAATGTTTTATGTTAATATTATGAAAACATGTTATAGTCATGTCTTTGAACGCTTGACTAATTTATAACTTTATAGATGATTAAACTCTACTAACAGTAGTGTAACTATCTATTTGTGAAACCAAGGCACAGGTTTCTTAGATAGGTCCCTCAAATAAATGATGTGATTGATTGAATGTTATTTCGCAGTCTAGAGCAAAAGAACGATGATTTATTTTATGTGAAAATATTGGTCTACCAAACTATATGGTCTTGTGGATTATAGAAGTTAGGAACGTGGTAGGCTATAGCAAACCGCGATCAGGGTTCAATTTTTCTAGATTCGCGTGGAACACGACCTGATTCACCATCTCTAGCGACCTGATTTAGTATTGAAACCCGTTAATTTTTTAAAAAATAATTCTTTTAAAGAATAAACAACAAAAGCCATGAGAAATTAAACAAATAAAGTATACATGCCTTAATTGCTACATGATTCTCAAGTTTCTTTTACGATTACTTATATCAACTAGCAGTTAAGAATCGGATCTAAAACGTACCATGTTCCCTAGCGTACCATATAAGCCTACCCCCCTCGTACACGATTCCTAGTGAGTGGTGTACCATGTTCCCGTACATATCCTGTGAACCAGAATGAACTGGGTTCAATGTAACTATGATATGGATGTATACTAAGCCAAGTTCAATTACCAAATTTATGGCTAGAAACAGATCCCAAGTGACCATAAGCATATCCTTTCTTAGTTGATTGCTCATTCCAGACAGTCTGTGGAATTTAAAATGATCTACTATTTACAAATTCTTAATGATGTAACTTATTGTTATTGCTAATGGACCATGCTTCATAAACATGATTAATGGACTTCTTTTTATCATTGAAGATTTAATACTTCAATTCATCGAATTTATGTTAGGACCTTAAGTTTAAGCAAAATAGTCTTAATGCGTTCACGCTTCAGAGATTTGTATTGCGTAGCCAATATGCGACTTGGATAGGTCGAGAGGTCAAGTAAGTATCACTGGACTAGAAAAACTTATTATAGCATTTGACCTAGTTAAAATGTATGTACAACATAATGTGTGTGTGGTGGAAGCTCATTTTGTTACATAGCTACCAAGAGATGGACATCGAAGCTGGTGTGCTCACCATTCTTCACTCTTGGTAGCTCATTTTGCTAAATGAGGTGTCAACTTCGAGCATCCCTATTTTGTTGGGCTAAAATACCATATTGGCCTAAAAAGTGAAAGTGACTTTCCTTTACCACTTTGACCTAAAAAGTGGCACCGATGACATTTTGACCTAAAAATGACATTGGCGATGCATAATTCCTTTCGATCGCCAGAGACAACTTTTAAGCAAAATACTAATGAAATTTTTTCATACATACCCCTCAAGTCTTCCATATTTTCGGATTTACCCCTTTAAGTCCTAAAATATGTAAAAAGAAAACTCTCCTCTCCCTCCCTTCTGACCATCTCCTTCTCCTTCCATTTCCTTCCTTCTCCTTCCCATCATCTCCTCCCAATCCTCAACATTCCCCCCTCTCTCGCTCTCTCCCTCATTTCTCATGTCATCACTCACTCTTGCCTCTATTTTCTATTTCACCAACCCCACTTTTTCTTAACTTCTTTAACTTCTCTATGATTGGAGCGTGAAGAGGGTGTGGGCAAAACAAGAAAGGAGAGGAAGTGGGAGAGGAAAAGAGGAGGTTGGATTTTTGATAGAATGTTTGGTGTTGGGGATTAGGAGTGGGGAGAGTAAGGAGGAAGAGGAAGTGGGGGAGAGGAAGAGAAAGAGGAAGAGGGAGAGGGAGTAGGAGAGAGGAGAGGGAGGTTGGGTATTGGAAGGAGAAAAGAATGGAGGAGATGGTGGAAAGAAAAATGTAAGAGTGAAGATATGAATGAGGGAGAAGGAGGGGAGAGAGGAGAGAAAAGATTGGGGTATGGAGGAGATAGTGGGAAGGAGAGTTTTTTAATGATAAATTTTAGAATTTTGGGAGAGGTGTAGAGGGGTTAATCCGAGCAATATAAGAGATGCAAAAATCCCTTAATTTTTTGTTGAAATTTGTCTCTATCAATTAGAAAGGCCCATGTGCCGTTAATTTGTCCCTTTTAGGTCAAAGTGTCGTCGACGTTACGATTTAGGCCAAAGTGATAAACTGGTGTCACTCTTTAGGTCAATCTAGTAATTTAGTCCATTTTGTTGTCATTGTTTTAATTATGCCTGTTAAAATGGTAAATCAGAATCATGTATTAGGGTTTCTCCTCATGGATACATATATATAGGAGTACAAATGGGTAATAGGTTATTGGGTCTTAACCCGATAACCCAATACTTAATTCTAACACTCGCCATTAAGCTGGAGCATATATATCAATCATGCCCAGCTTGTTGCACAGAATAAAAAACACCTTAGGTGAAGTAGTTTTAGTGAAAATATCAGCTAACTGTTATGAAGACGGAGTGAACTGAAGAGAGATCACTTTCTTTTCCCAAGTATCTCTGATAAAATTACAATCAACTTCAATGTGCTTAGTTCTCTCATGAAACACTGGATTCTTTGCAATATGGATAGCAGATTGATTATCACAATGCATAGGCATAGATCCGGGCTGAGTAAAATCAAGCTCGGTCAACAGCTTCTGTAACCATATCATCTCACAAACAGTGTGGGCCATAGCTCTGTATTCTATCTCTGCACTGTAAGCGTATAAAACTGCTTATAGGTCCCTTAACACAGCTCAGCATGGTGACTCAACAAACCAACGAACCAACGGGTCGATGAAGCAACGAGTCATCCAACCATAGAGTCCACCACATCAAACAAGACCGGGAGCGGACTCGAACTCAAACACTAAAGCGGATTTACTGCCAAATCAGGATCCGGATTGCCAAATCAGAGTCCAGATCAACAATGAAGCTCGGATAAACCGCGAAACCGTAAAACCGAAAAACGGACAAAACGGTACCACACCTGGAGGGCTCGGCCAAAGCCGAGCCACCCCTTGGTGGCTCGGTGGCCACAATGAAGCTCGGATAAACCGCGAAACCGTAAAACCGAAAAACGGACAAAACGGTACCACACCTGGAGGGCTCGGCCAAAACCGAGCCACCTCTTGGTGGCTCGGTGGCCGAGCCACCAGGTGGCCGAGCCACCTGGCCGAGCCACAGCCCGGATCTGGGCTCAGATCTGAGCCCAGATCCGTTTTTAGATGCCTATAAATAGAGAGGTAGGCTCATTGTTTTGGAGGTTGGAACTTTTTGAGGCGAAACTCTGCTGGATTGAGAGCTCAACTTTGGAGTTTTGAAGCTTTGAAGACTTAGACATTTTCAGATCTGGTTCTTGGCGATCATCCACGTCAAACAAGGCAGGAGTTCGAGAGAGAGATCAGATCTGAGATTCACACGGTTATCCTCGGGATCAAAACTTGGTTTTTGATCCCGAGAAGAGTATCGATTTCGCTTGGTCGATTTCGATTACTAAAGGCTATTATTTCCTTGGTGAAATAGTACACCCGGCTGTTATTTCCTTCGTGAAATAACACCCGTCATACCGTGTAGATCCGACCGGATCAAGATCGCACGGTGGTCCAAGAACCCACATAAGCAAGAGACCGCAAAACAGGATCTTGCGATTTGTTCGAGAAAAGGAAAGTTGTAATTTTTTTTTCTTTGATTTCGTTGTAAACCGGATCTTATAAAAAGACCGGATCTTTTGTAACCGAAAAACTGTTGCTTAAGGAACAATGACTTCAATGAAAACAATTTTTCCCGCGAACAATCTGGCGACCACAGTGGGAGCCACCGATCTCGATGCCGAGATCGTTGCGTCGCAGCCGCGGATCTTGATCCCGGTCGAGGAGGAGGTCGAGTATGAATTTGACCAACAAAAGTTCAAGGAGTATCTGTCATCCTTGTCCGGATCCACCTCCCCCCGCAAGTCCAAGAAGTTCTCCTCCAGGAGAAAAGTTTGTTGGTACGAAGAAGTGCAGAATGCCAACGAAGATCTCACCCCAATTGATGCCGAAGTTGCATCGGGTGAAGCTCCACCGACCTCCAACCAGGTCAAATCTGTTCCTGCTAATTCCTCCGCCATTGAAGGCGTAGTGACTCTCTCAAAGAGCCCGTCAGAGGCGACGTCAACGCCTGACGCGGTAACTCGCAAAGGCAATGGAGTCCACTGACGGAACCCGCTATAACGCGGATCTGAAGAGCAGGAGAGGCAAACAGCCTCAACAACCAATGAATGGCAGCTCCTCCAAGCCGCCAACGAATGAATGGATCCGTGTCAAACGGAATTGTTCAACACTTGACGAGCGCATTCGCAAGCGCCGCGCACTGTCAGCGCAAGCACGGGCTCAAGTCCAAGAAGCCCGCAGAAGACTGCAGAAGAAAGTGGCCAAAAAGCCGCCACCAACCCGCCAAGTCTGGAGGCCGAAGTCTGAAGCGGCGCTTCAGGCTAAAGAGCAATCTTTGCAGCCTTCAGCAAAAGTTCAACCTCTGGCGAACCAACCTAAATCGCCAATAATTCTAATAGTTACTCCGGGAGATCACGCAGAATCATCCCGAAGAAAGAAGTCAGTTTTGGAGCGCCTTGGTCCACTTCCCGATGGACGATGCAAAGCTCCAGTGAGTCGCCGCCACCCTCAACATGACAAAGAGATCAGGGCAGCTAGGCGCACCAATTTGCGCATTAAAGTTCAGGAGCCCGCTGATAACTCACGCCCACAAAGGCATGTTTCGAGGCGCGTGACTCTTGAAAGCCCAAAGAAGGCAGTTCGCCCTCAGAAGGAAACATTGTCGTCTGACGACGATAACGTTATACCTGAGA